AGATATGTAGCTAGCAATAGGCAGACTGGGGATTAAGACCCAAGTTGCTGACTAGAGCTCTTTATGTTATACACCCCACTGCTTCTCGTGCACTATATGCTGAATCCATATACTGCCCAATCCCAGAAGACAAATCCACCAATCCAGCGATGAAAACAATCATCAACACCTCCCAATAGTAGTTTATTGTGATTATAATTGTAAATCAACTTGCCAAATACTCTTTTATTTTTTCACTGATTATGTGAAAATTAATCTATGCATATATCTTCAACGTGATTCTGGAATTTTGCCATATGTATATATGTACAAGTTATCTATATATTTGAAGTGTGCGTGTGTGTGTGTGTGTGTGTGTGTGTGTGTGCATCCGAAGTCTGAAGATTGTAATGATACTTTGGAAAAGCTTCTTGCTGCCCTTATGTCTCTGAACCTCCAACTGAAAAATAATTAACATCTGTTACATTATGTATATGGGAATGACCTAGTGGGTTATTTAAACACTAAGAGCATTGTAATTGTCCTACAATAGATTTGCAAGTTGCAAGTTTAGAGATGCTGCTGCCCAAAGGGAAGAGTCTTTCACAGTGCTTGGAATAAGTCTCCCTATGGGGCGTTACTTAAAGGTGCAGCACTTAGTAAATATTTTAAACTGGAATCTTCCACTATTGGAGAATAAATATTGACTTTATTTTCTGGTCAAATTTTTCCTAATCATTGCAACTGGCTTTGTAACAGTTTCAGATGAGAAATTTCAGCATTTTACTCCTTTAAGCTGTGTTATTTTCCCAAGCCCTGGTGTTTGGTTTCCCAATACTAAATATTTCTGCGCATATCATTAGTCATAGGATAATAAAAACAAGTGACTCTGTTCAACTCTGGTATGTTGTCTTTATGTATGTAATCCTTCTTCCTTATTTAAAAAAAATTAATATTTTTATTTATTTTTGAGAGAGAGAGAGAGAGAGAGAGAGAGCGAGAGAGCGAGCACAAGTGGGGGAGGGGCAGAGAGAGAGGGGGAGACACAGAATCTGAAGCAGGCTCCAGGCTCCGAGCTGTCAGCACAGAGCCTGATGCAGGGCTCTAACCCATGAACCATGCGATCGTGACCTGAGCAAAAGTCCGACGCTCAACGACTGAGCCACCTAGGCACCGCTCCTTCTTCCCTTCTTAAATTACCTTCCATGTATATCTTAAAATTAGTAAGAGATTTTTAAAACTGTAAGACAATAAACGTTTTGCAGAACCACTTTGATCCCGGATCTTATATAATTGCCGTTATTTTTCACTGTGAGCCAACCACATATTCGATCCGACGGACAAGTTTTTACTCTCTTAGTAAACAATTGAGAAATTTCTTACAGGCAATCACTTCACTTTTACAATGTAATTCTGGCTTCTTTTTAGCTCATTTTTGTTGCTGTTGTTTATTTGCTTCCCTGGGGCAAAAATATGCTATTTTCTTATTCTGGCTTACGATCATTAGGTTGTAACTTCTGATCTTGCCAGATAGTAAATCTAAACAATTTTGGCCCTAGCTAGGTTTGGGGAAAACTCAAAAGAAATTTCGGTGCCACAGGAAGAGATGTTAGTAATTCCAGTTGTTTCGCTCTTGCCTTTAGATATTCCTTGAATTGTGTTGGAGTGTGTGGTTGTGTTGTGAACTATTGCTGCTAACTCCTACCCTGGAGATGGCTGTATTTCAGAGATGAGTGAATTGATACTTGTAAACAAGTTGATAATCGTTAATAAAGCTTACCAAACAATTTAAGCTCTTTAGAAACACACATCCACTATTATAATTAATTGCCTATTGTTTATTTAATTACAACCTTTAATAGAGGCATGAAGGCTTCTAAAAATGCAACTTATACAAAATCTGAACTTACATTTGTTTTCACGATGTTTATTTTGTTTCCATGAGTTTCAGGTGTCAAATGATTTCTCCCTGGAGATCCTGGTTGAAATTCCACCATTGACTATTCAGTGCCCTCTTTAAAAATCATTAAGAATATTTTTCTTTAACGTTGACAATGGCCCACTCTGGGATCCAGCTGCTATATTCACAGTATGATGGTGATTTTGTTTTATTTTCCACACATGGCCTTTTCATACACTGTGTCTCAGAGATGGAAAATTCTCTTTAAAAAAAAGAAAAGAAAAAGAAACCCCACTTTTATAGCATGCTTTCTTTAGAATGACCTAAAACCAGGTCTTTCTTTCTAGACAGTGTCTAGCTCAGGATTATTCAAGATTCATCTATAGTTTATTCCCCTGAAGATTTTGGTGGCAAATCCATCCAGTGTCTCTTTTTGGAGTGCCTACTTCATGCAGAACTCACACCAGTCACTGTGTGTAAGCAGAACTAAAAAATGGGGAGTTTCTAATAGATGACAGGAAATCTATAGACACTAGCAAGTGCCAGTGGGTCCCTGAAAGAATGTGCTAGAACCTGGGTAGTCTCTGAGATTTGTGGTGTCGTCCTTTAGAATTAGGACAAAATCTTCTTTCTTCAAGATTAAAATAATGTATAAGGTCATCCCCTCCCTAACTAAAGTTTTTCATTGGCTGCTCTGGTGATGCAAATATATTAGGCCTTCACACGCCTCCATTCAAAAAACGTTTAATGAAAAGACCTTGTTTGTTAGTTTTAAGTGCTGCAGCTAGTATCCCGTAAATATGGGGCACTGAGGAATATGGACAACATAATGTCCTCAAATGGGAAAGTTGTAAACCTTGCCTAAAAATAATAAACACAATACCTTACTTTTACAGCCATTTTATTTTATTTTTATGTGTATTCACTTTGAGAGAGAGAGCCAGCATGTGTGAGTGAGCAGGGGAGGGGCAGAGAGAGGGGGAGAGAGAATCACACGCAGCCTCCTTACTGTCAGTGCCGGGGGCTTGATCTCACAAACCACGAGATCATGACCTGAGCCAAAATCAAGAGTCAGAAGCTAACCGACTGAGCCAACCAGGCGCCCCGTTTTACAGCCATTTTAAGTCGGAAAAGTATATGCACGTCTATCATATTGTTTGGGTCTCACAATTAGTCCTATAAAGGGAGAAAAGGCAGTAAGTCATTCAACAGGTCAAGTACATACTGAATGTCAGCCACTGTGGAGGGATGATCCATGATACACAAGGCAGTTCAAAGAATTTAGAATTTCCTTGGGAAGGGAAAACATGAACAGAAAGAAATACAATAAAGGTAGTATATGCAGGTCTCTTGTCGTTGAGAAATAGAGGGGCAAAGGAGACTCGGTGCCACACTATGCTAGGAAACGTACATTATCTCAGAATACTCCTCCACACTATTTTATTCACAATCAAATCAAATCAAAACCTATCTACAATCCAACAGCCACTTTATCTACAAGTTACGGACGAGTCGGAGGCTCCCAGAATCTCAGTTCCTTGCCTCAGGAGGCTAAGTGCCTCACAAGCACTATACTGAATTTCTGGCAGAGGTAGAGCGTCAAGGAAGGCTCCCGGCTCGTCAGCCATTATCCATACTTTCCCCACCAGATCAGGCTAGTCCAGAAAAAGCTCAGCATGAACAGATCCCCATTTTCTTCTCTTAAAAAAAAAAACCCCTTCCATTCCAGCAGCACTGGTGTCCATTCGGTTTTGCCCTAAGGCGCAGGTAAGGCCATAGTCTGTAGCCCATGGTGAAGGAGAATCCTCTCTGGGTTTGGCTTCCAAAGTAGG